CTCTGCCTGCGCGGGCTGCCCGCCCCGCCTGCGCGGCGGGCTCCGCGGGGCGCAGTTTGCAGCTTTCGTGCCTTCTCTTCACCTTGTAAATCGCCACGAGTTCACGGATGGCTATTCAGTGGCCCTACGATGCTGCAACACATCGGCTTGCGTTTTAGTCGTGCTGCTTTTGTTCTTCGGCGATGGGCAGAGTTTGCTGTGTTTGTGTCGGCTGTGGTGTAATGACATAGGGCTCTCTTGACGTTTTATTTATGACCTTATCAGTTAAGAGTTCCGTGGCTAGTTGCAAGCATTATGAAGTGATCACCTAGGTTATCCTTTGTATACTTTTTAGAAACGCCAACAGCCTTACGAAATTTGAGCAGATTTGAGATGCAGTGATAGTTTAGGTAGATGTTAGTCTTGGAGAACTTATTTTGTGTGCAAATGAATATAAAAAGAACTTAAACAAAGTATTATTACACACATGATATCTATAACTAGGACTTTGATAACTGTTATACAAAGTGTGTAAAGTTTGTATTAATAAATTTTTGTAAACAATGCAATTTCGTCTAATGTTTGGGGGAGAGTAATCTACAATCTAACAGTGAAAGCTGTACTTCATTATAAAATTTATTTAATTAGTTTATTTTTGAGCAGCATTCTTCTAACTTTTTCACATCTGGGATACCTTTTTATTAAGTCTCCACATGTTATCATCAAATAACCCCTGACATTTTTACTGATGGCTATTCCTCTGTTTGAGTAGATTAAACAGAACTTTTGAAGTAGAAGAGCCTAGTTCCACAAACACTAGCTAAATGTTGTTTTCTAAAATATGCAAACCAAACCAGTCAGTGCCTATAGCCCTTCACTCTAACTACTCCTGTGCTTAGAAGCCATTGATTTGAAACAGAATTGGTATGTTTGATGAGATCTTCACCTAATCCTCTTTTAATTAACATTCTGTATGTGATCATGTGCTTCATAACATCACCTGTTGACAATGGTAGCATCTTCCTTCGGATTAAAATGTTACTGGGCTGCCCTAAAAAATGAAACTGCAGCACAACAAGAGTTACCTAGTTTTAGAAAAGTACAACGAAAAAGCACAGGCAGGGTGGTTTGTCAGCATGAAAGGTCAGAATATCTGACCTTTAAAATTCAATTTAACTTATCAATTGCTGCTTATGTTTATTATTTTTATGATAGCTCAGGGGCTTTATTCAAGTAGCTTGGAAAGTAGCAGCAATTTATTTTTAAGCTAAACTCTATTTCTTTCTAAGAACATACAATTGAAAAATAAAGCATGGGAATCAATTGACAATTTCCCAGCTATTTATTTTTTAAAAATGTAAACCCAGTGTTTGAAATAGACTGATCATATCCTTTCTGCTGTGACTTCAACTTATAGGCTAGTTTCAACAACAGCGTTTTACTGATGAACTTGAAAAACCAAGATAACTCAGGAAGCTGGTAATATTAGCAATATGCATGAGGAATGAGTGCAAAGCTAGGTAAAAGTTCTGATCAAATACAGATCAGGTCAGAGACAAATGCAAAGAAATACCTAGATGGGTATCGGATGAGGAATGATTTCTCAAGCAGACAGTGTAAGAAAAATAAGACACTCTCCAAATGCAGCATACAGTGAAAAACTACTATTGGGTTCAGTTAGCCTATAGTGCTCATACATATAACTGCATTATATTTCCTGCTCATCTAAAATGAAAATATGCTTAGGATCTCTATGGTGAAGAAGTTCTTGCTATTAGTAGCTTGAGGATCAAACTTGGGACTAGTCTCCCTTAAAAATAAGGTCATCTTCATCAAGTCCTGGACACCTGTTAAGCATGAGCAGCAGAGGGAAGTAGTGCTGTAAATGGCATGGAGGTGGTCCTAAATTCACACTCCTGAAATCCCTCTTTGCCAAATGAAATATGATTTCACGAAGAAGCTCAGCTCTGTTCCCCATGATTTGAACTGACATCTGAAAGGATACACTTGGAAAAATATTATGTAATACTGAGTGGTATAACATGAGTTTTGTGGGAATTCTTGATGTTTTATAAGCTCCTATTGGACTAGCAACAGAATTGGAGAAAAAAATAATGATTAGGCAAGACATGATTTTGGAGCTTCACAGTCTAAAAACCTCCTGACATTCAATCGAAGCGACAAACTCTGGTTAGTTAGTAAAAGAGGCTGAACAGAGTGGGATGGACTCATCCAGATTCCAGCTCTCAGAAATGTGGTGCAACACATCTTTCACATAGCTGCTTAGATCATCAAAACCAAAATAGTTTCAAAGAACAAATTTCTGTAGTGCTCTGGTGTAAATCTGGGTACGGTCAGCAGCTGCCTTTCGCAAGGTTTGCTTGTGAACCTGCTGACCTCGTCTCCACGTGGCTTTGGAGACTCTTCCAGCCTTCTTCCAGTACCAAAGTTCCCCTGTTGGCTGTGCATGTTTTTGCCTAGAGATCAGGAAAACAGAAAATCAGCAGGA